GTGTGCTTGTGTTTGTCAGTACTTCTTATGTCCACATAATTATATTTCCATGTCTCCAACATGTGACAGGGTGTCGATCCAACAATACGGGCAGAGGTTTGGCCTTTCCTTCTTGGAGTGTATGTGTCCTTCTTAAGTTCTTATTTCCATTTCATGAATGATGAGTCACAGTACCTTTCCTCCTTGGAGTGTATGAACCCTTCTTGGGTTGACTGCTACATCATAACTTTTTGCTCGAACCACTGTTCTAAAAATCCCTCCTAGTCCTCGGCCCCAACTAGGTGATATGCCTCCCTGGCTTGCTTCCGGTTTTTCTAATTTCAGCATGCATAACCAGCTAGGCCGAAATTAATCAATGCCCAAACTCAATTAAATACTCAGCTTCTAGTCTACCGTCTTCTAGAACACAAGTTGGAACCTTGCTAGCAGAAAGTAGGTTAAATACTTCCTCCGTTCTTTATACTCCCTCCGTTCTTTATTATCTGTCCTCTTAGGCTTTGGCACGGGTTTTAAGACGAAAATAATAGGGGTAGTGTAATAGGTGTAGTTGGTTGTGGGTAAATGAAAAAGTAGGAAAGAGAAAGGGGTAATGGTAATAAAAGTGGGGGTATAAAGGTATTTTGATTGAAAAAACTTACCAAAAAAGGAAAGAGAGACAAATAATTAAAAACGTCTCAAAAAGGAATACGAGACAGTTAATAAAGAACGGAGGGAGTACTAGATAATTAGAAGCATGCACAAGCACCACATTTTCTATATCCTTATATTTCCTTTTCTAATCTATCTCAGATACTATTGGCACTTCTGTGGGTAGGTTGGGTGCTTACTTTAACTCTCCATGACTAAAGCGGCATATTTAGTCTATACTTATGTGCCTTCATAGTATCATCCTGGGTTAGTTTGAGACTGTTTTTAAGATGGTACAATAATTTTGTGTGTGATGTTGTTTCATCCCCAGATTTTTTTACTTGTAGCTTACGATAGGACTAATGGAGATTGTAGCAGCAAAATATGATTTTTTGTCATAAGTCATAACATTTCTCTTATCAATAATTGTAAACGAGCACATCATAGAAGCTTTTGTAGTTATTCATCACATGGAGCATAAAGAGTATCTTTAGTAGACTAGTAGTTAATTGCTGTTTCTCTACTCATTATTCATTTTCATTTCTCACTAACTATTTGTCAGTTGGACACATTTAGCAAATGTTTTAGGAACCTAACCAGAAAAATCTATTTACTGTGGCAGTGAGTGTGAGTATTTGACTAACTAATCGTTGTTATTTTCTTCTTATTTTCTTATAATTAATACCATAGAAAATGTCCATGCATAAAAGGTACTAATTTGTGATTGACTATTGTTGATTTTATTTGGGCTTAATGACTTAATTGGTGTGCTTTCATATATTAAATGGTTGAAATACACTGTAAGAGGTGTGTGGTAAAATCATTTGTTTATTCTTAGCTGAAACATTTCAAGGGGCTTTTAACATGTAAGAACATTAGGTTATTCTTATTGTGAGTTGTCATCATTTACAAATAAATGCATAATGACTTTGAAAAGGCACTACTAGGTAGTAAGAAATTTTATTACTTTGGAACACATTTAAATGTTAGGAAAATGAAAAAAGTGCCAAGGGAAAATTTTTATGTCGATTTTACTGATACAATACAAAGGAAGATTTAACTGTTCAATTTCTATATTAGAATAATGCATCTTTTAGATATTTCTTAGTCTTTATTCTATAGATATACAACAACAACATCCAAGCCTTAATCCCAAAAGATTTTGGGGTCGACTAACATGAATCGAACCATGATATCAGTGCCAAAAAGAGAAGACAAACAAAAAGAAAAAAAAAGAAGAAAAAAAATAATGATAAAGTAAGATAAAACAGATACGCTAAAGATAAATATAAGATAACAATAACATAAGAACACAGGGAAGATAAAAGACAAAAAGATAAAAAGGGCATAAAAAGCTAGAAGATAAAAATAACTTAAGAATATAAAAAGATAAAGAAGATAAACGATAAAAGAAAAAGAGAGGAAAGATAGAAAAGAGATCAATCGTCCACTAGAATTTGAAAAGATAGAATTATTCAATAGATATATATAAATGAAATGAGTTTGAAAAAGTGTCTAAAATTTATTTATTGAGTTTGAACCCGATTTTTATTTATTAATAATCCCCCCCCCTCCTCTTTTTCTTTCTATACCCCCTGGAATTTTCTCCCTATTTCTTTTCCCTTACAAATTCCTGGATTTAAATGGACACTTAGCGTTTTCAATTTTATCGTTTTGAGACTAAAGCTACAATAATTTGCCATGTACCAAACATCAAACATTTACTTTAGCGGGTCAATCATTTCAAACTGCTGAAGTTGGTCAAACATCTCTTACAGTTTTTTGTTTAATGTGTTCTCTGCATCTGCAGTTATGATCTGAAGAGTTCAATGGAAGAGAGAGAGGCAATTAGAACTCGGAAAAGGTATTTCATGCTGAAATATCCCATCCATATTTCATGTCCAATGGCTCATCCATTAATCAGATGTTTCTTATTCACCCCTTTTTATTTTACTTGAGTTCAAAATTTCACCCTTTCTACATCTCAACATACTGCAGAAAACAGTATGGAAACCTACGAAGAAAGTGTTTGCAGATGTCAACAAATGGGGATGATAATACTTTGAAGTTGAAGGAGAGTTCTAGAAATAACAATCAAAGTGATAATTCTAGTCAGGTTCTAAACCCTCTTCCCCTTGAATGTGAGAATCCGAAAAGCAAAGACCCCACTACAACTGCATCCAGTCCAGTTCTTGGTGAGTCTGATGAGTCATCTATTACAACTGCAAATATTTCTGCTGATGAACATCCGTCAACCAATTCTGATACCTCTGATGAGCCTGATGAAGAGCAGCAACCTTTCCTTCGCCGTAAAGATTTAGAAGAAACCAACACAGAGTCAACCACTCTCACCAAGCCAGAAGGCAGCTTCAACAAAACAGAAGATTTTGCGACATGGAAACGTATAATACGTGTTGATGCTGTCCGGGCAAATGATGAATGGGTTGGCCATTCACCAACCCAAGCTGCAGTTTCTGAGATCAAGGCACATCAGTTGGCCGAGAGTGTAGCATTGAAGGACTATGATCATCTGGGGCCCTGCAGGACCTATCATGCGGCTCGTCTAGTCTCTATCCTTGAAGCCTACGCCCTCTATGACCCTGAGATTGGGTACTGCCAGGGGATGAGTGATTTGCTCTCTCCCATCATCTCGGTGATCGAGAAGGACGATGAGGCATTCTGGTGCTTCGTGGGTTTCATGCGGAAAGCACGTCACAACTTTCGCCTCGACGAGGTAATATTGAAGTGTGGTGTATTCATATAGAATGTTCTCTAATGTATTCTCTTGTGTGTTCAAGATTAGAGAATTTTATTCTACACATGCTATGATATTCTAAAACACCCCACTAAAATACATGACCACATTCAAAACACCAAACACCTTAACTTTCTAACAGGTAGGGATCCGGAGACAGCTGAGCATTGTCTCGAAGATCATAAAGTGCAAGGACTCGCATCTGTACAGACACCTGGAGCAGCTTCAGGCAGAGGATTGCTTCTTCGTGTACAGGATGGTGGTGGTTCTTTTCAGGAGGGAGTTGAGTTTCGAGCAGAGTCTATGCCTGTGGGAGGTGATGTGGGCAGATCAGGCGGCAATTAGGGCTGGGATAGGAAAATCGGCTTGGGGCCGTATGAGGCTCAGGGCTCCTCCGTCGGAAGATCTTCTTTTATATGCAATAGCGGCGTCGGTGCTGCAAAAGAGGAAATTGATCATAGAGAAGTATAGCAGCATGGACGAAATCATGAGGGAGTGCAATAGCATGGCCGGGAATTTGGACGTTTGGCGTCTTTTGGATGATGCCCATGACTTAGTTGTGACCCTGCACAACAAGATATAGGGAGGCATCCCCTTTTCCGTGCTTGCAGAACAAAACAGTTTTTTAAATGTATACATGAGTTTTGAGTTGTATTGCCCCGTCAACATTTAAGAGTTCGAATTTAGAGTAAGCTCTACGGTTGGTTGTCGAGTATCTTGTTAAATGTGCTGTACTGTATCCTCATATACTTTAGCTGTTTTAATTTGAACTGTTGCCCTGCTTTATCATTAGAAAACACGAATACAAAACTTACTTCTCTGTTTTAAATTTAAGAGCTGTTTTCCCTGGAACTGGTCGAGTCTCTTCTACTAGAAACATGTTTTTCTTGTAAGATCTGTTTTCTATTAAGTTAGAAAAGCAATAGAAGGTATATTAATGCAAGTATTGTGAGGCAGAATGAAGAAATAATGGGAAGTCCGGGTGGGGCATTTGCATGATTGAAGTCTTTCAACTGCATACACAGTAAGGTTAACTCCCATGAGGTTATCCCAAACTCTTTCATGGGGATTCAACTACTGACGTGTTTTGACGAGTCGAATCCATCAGCCTGAAGTTTGATTTAGAGTTCCGATGGCTGTCGTGTTGTGGTGGCTAAGGAAGTGGTCAAAGGAAGCATATTGTTTAGACTTTAGACTTTTAGAGTGAACTAATCTTTTCAAGTGCATAAATTTTCATCAAGTTAATGAAGGCGTGAAGGCATTCTTGCAGCTTGTGCTATTTTGCATAAGAAAACTGTGAACATACCAATGCAACTTTGAAGATTTATAATTCCTCCATCCCTCTTCGAATCCTTTTGCATTAAAGTATATACTCCGTAAAAATGAAATAAAAACATGCTGCTGTATTAGCATCCTTACAAGTCATTTTGTAATAAATATGCTGAAACACATATTCTGCTGTATCCGAATTCCTAAAATAACTAAAGTAACAAAGTATAAATTGTTAGTTAATAAATAAAAAATAAAAACACTCCTACTATTTCATGAGAAAACAAATATTCCATACCCCATATGCATTTATAGAAATTTCATTTACAATGCTCCGTATTAATATCTGCATGAATTGAAAGAGTTATTTTTAGTTTAGGGAGTTTTTTTTCTTTCCTTTTTGTGCCATTTTAGGCAGTAAGCCTGGCTACGGCTTCACTTTCATTTGAGCTCGGAGCAGCATAACTACATACAGTACTTGACTTGTCGCCATGTCTACAGCCATAGACCACGTTGAATCAGAATCTGGATCGCCGGGAACACCGCCGCCGACACTGAACACTGAGCTGGAGCCGGCTGCACCATCAGTCCCGGAACCGGATCCGGACGATGATACTACTCAACCAACGGGATCTCCACCAGATAATGCGGAAGATCCGAAACCGCTTGAGGCGGAAGGCAATGGAATTCCTCCCGGTATAGTGGAACCAGCCAATCTGGAGCCCCCCTTTTTGTCGATCCAGTCGAACGGATCAGCCAATGGCTCCGAATTTAAGTCTAATGATTCTGAAGATAGTGCCGCCCAATCTAATGAAGCCGATAGCAATCAGAAACTTCGGAAAGATGAGGGTAGCCGAACTTTTACAATGAGAGAATTGTTAAATGAGTTGAGGAATGGTGGTGATGATTCGGAACCGCGCGAAGCTGACACTCCTCACAGGTTTTTAATTCTTTCTCGGTTCCTCTATACGATAAGACTGCATCAACGCCTTAAAAGAATTTATCATGCCAACTTGATAGCCTTTTACTAGAACTAGAACAAGGTTCACACTATTTGTTTTTTAATTGTTTTGAGTTTCAACATGGAATGCTATCGAACCTTGTCTTCCCTATATGTATCTGAGATAATTTGAGCCAGTTTAATGATTTGAAGTTTTAATACCTAACTGAAAAATAAGAAAATGAGGCCTCTATATCTCTGTCAGCTTGATTTTGAAAGAAAATAAACTGTATCTCCTATTTAGCTATCTTCAACCATGGTTTGTCAAGTAATTCTGATGTAGCTTTAAGATACATGACACATCTCCTTTTTTGGGGGCATTCGATGTTAACATCTCCGTAAAAGCAGGCTTGGCCCTCACTTCTACAAGAGCTTTTTTGGACATTGTAATCTATGAACCCACATTCACAATATACTTTTGTGGCCTCTTTTACTGTTGTGCATGCTACATGGAAGATAGGAAGAGAGTTAGACCCCCCATTGTCGACTAAAACCCATAGTTGCTCTCATGTCTTAAGCAATTATGAAGTGACATACATCTAATGATCGATGGAACGTATGAGTAAACTATACTGCTAGTTCCACCTTATGTCTTAAGTCTTTTCATGTCTGGCAATTTTTTCCCCGATTTGCAGTCTTGTAACTTATAAAATCTCTTTGACACTTTAGAATATCGGGTTGCGTATATTTCTTTGTTGCAAAACCAGAGGCTTATAAATTCAGTTACTTCTTTGCGTATATTTGAATCCCCTCCCCTCCCATCTCCCCCAAACTGCAGTCAGGAAAGCAATCGTACAGATCACACTGATGCTGCCTTGGAGCTGATCAACAATGTCACAGGTGCTGATGAGGAGGGCCGGTCTCGCCAACGTATCCTAACCTATGCTGCTCGGAGGTAAGCATCTCATCTGGCCTACAAATGATTTTTGCTGGCCATGGGAATAAATTCTAACTCTGTGAATCATAGTAGTCAATGGCGAGATATGGCACACACCATGAAAAAGAGGCCGTCACCATAGTGCCATATTCTCCATATGCGCCATTTGTATAAGCGCCATTCGTATATGCGCCATCGCCATGCGCCACAAAAAATGCCTTTGAGCCATGGTGATCGCCATGCGCCATGACAACTATGCTGTGAATGTATTATCTTGGGATGCATTTCAGAGTTTCAGACTTTCAGTGAACATCCTTTGGTTATTCATTTCTGCTTTTCTTGTCTTTCTATTTTTGGTCACTTAGTTGACTAATGGAGCAGTTTACTAAAATTTGGAATTTTGAATTGTTGTAATGCCTAATACAAGATTTCATGAATACATGTTCTGACTTCGGTGCAGGTATGCTAGTGCACTAGACCGAAACCCAGAAGATTATGATGCACTTTACAATTGGGCACTAGTTCTTCAGGTGTAGTTTTAGTAGTTATTGTCATTAAGTTTTTCTCTCTCATTTATATGTTTATCCTTTTCAGGGACATTTTTAGTGGCCGTTTGGCTTATTAGAGATTATTTTTACCAAACCCTATTTATTGGATGGGTCCGCAGATTTGATTAAAAATGAATTAAGTAGAATTGTTGGTGCTTTTTTTGCTGAAAATGACCATTTTATCCCTTTTTATAAATTTGTAACCTATTCTATGAATAGAATGTATTGTAAACACAATATTTCACACCACAGCAAATTCAATGAATTCTGCTACAACTTCAGTAGATTCAACGACTTCATCCATTTTAAGCCTTATCACACGGGCTCTTATTTGTATTTTCACTGCTTTTGGTTTCCACTAGCAAAGCTGTGTTGATGTACATTTGAATTAACTGGTCTAAAAACTATGTATTGCTTTTACAATTCCAATGTTCTTGCCTTGACATCTAAATATATGGAGAAACATCTTATTGAAGTTGTGAAGTGCAATTGTTCTTGATTTGCCTTATTGAACTATTATTTACACCTATATTATCTATGTTGAAGCCCACATATTCAACTCTTTTGTTACTTGAATGTAAATTCCCGTCGGGCACATTTAGTCCTGGATTAATCTTATTCAACAATTGTTTTTATAGTATCCATGCCACCTTTTCTTTTTCCTCCAGGAAAGTGCGGACAATGTTGATCCAGATTCCAGCTCACCTTCAAAAGATGCTTTGCTTGAAGAGGCTTGTAAAAAATATGAGGAGGCAACTCGGCTTTGCCCTACACTCAATGATGTAAGGGAGTAGACCTTCATTTGGAGAGTCGTTGCTTCTGCACTTCTGTTTGACAACTACTAAGTCAAGAACTTCTGGAATATCACATTACTGCTTTAAAGTTGAGCTCTAACCATAGTGTTTATCTAACATATGTTCACTGAGAAAGCAGGCATATTACAATTGGGCAATTGCAATCTCTGATAGAGCAAAAATGCGGGGTCGAACAAAAGAAGCAGAAGAATTTTGGAAACAGGTTAAATATGTTCATGTTGTACTCTTTAGTTGTTTGTCAAATATCTCTTCCTATCTTCCAGCCACTTACGATTCAAATGTATATCTAAAAAACTATATAAAATGTATGAAAAGGAGATTTTAGAATTTTTATCGTTTTACTGGTGAACTTTCTATGGGTATTCAATAATGATGACCGAACAATTTCTGCTGGAATGCTTGTTACTTTGGTTGTCACTGTACATTAAGTTTTGATTAACAGAAATGCTTGAAATGAATTTGAACAACTTTTAATCCATGTACTTGCAAATTTTCAGGCAACTAAAAACTATGAAATTGCTGTCCAGCTCAATTGGAACAGTCCTCAGGTAACCTGTAACTCAGCCAACTAGCCCATGTTACACCAAATTGTTTATTTTTCAAGCCATATAACGTATTTGTAGGTTCTTTCAACCTAGGGAATCTCAAGTCATTATATTTTCTGGTGTTAGTTCCTTGTTATTTCACTTTTTTTGTGACTTGTAATATTTTCATTTCATTCTTTCTGGTGCACTTACAGTTCAGATAGTTACTGGACATCTCTAGTCTTCATGCTTGCTTTTTGAGCTGGCAAATGCTGCCTTTTGATTTATTTTTTCGTAGTTCAGCTCATTCTTACATATTTTTTTAATCTAGGCACTCAACAACTGGGGACTGGCTCTGCAGGTATCTCCAAAGAGTCACCATTTATTTCTGTTCAATTTGTGTTCAATCTGTCAGAAGTGAATTCATACAGCTGTCTTTCATAGTTTTGTACTTTTGTTTCCTTGGCTCCAAGCATGATATCTGTAATCTATATCTCATAGCATGCTTTAAATGTTTTTCTTTTGAAGGAACTCAGTTCAATTGTCCCTGCTCGAGAGAAGCATACAATAGTTAAAACTGCAATCAGTAAGGTACATTTGATGTTTTTTTGAAAATAGATGACCATCCCAAAGTATGAAATGTGAATTTATTTTAGAGCTAGGCAAATTTTGAATTCATTTTCTGTAGTTGCTTCCATTGACATTATCAGTGTTGAATGCAGTTCCGTGCTGCGATTCAACTGCAGTTTGATTTCCATAGGGCAATTTACAACCTTGGGACTGTTCTGGTGTGTTTCCAACCTTCTTTTATCCAGCTCTAGGGCTTTATATATTTTCCTACCACATTCACTGCAAGAATCTAAGATACGAAAAGAACATCACTAAGCGAAAAGAAGTCGATATATTACTGACTACATTTTTTTGGCACACATATTGCAGTATGGACTAGCAGAGGACATGTCTAGAACAGGGGGAGCCATGAGTTCTAAGGACATATCTGCAAATGAGTTATACAGTCAGTCTGCAATTTATATTGCTGCTGCACATGCACTCAAACCAAATTACTATGTAATACATCACCTTTTAATAAAAAATGGAAAACATACTGCATTGCATATTCTTGTTTGTTGTCGCTATGAAGTATGAAGGAAATGTTCCTGTTGTTTTTGGAAGCTATGGCGTCTTTGGATATTGTTTTCTGCTTTCAGTTGTAAAAAAAACTAAATCCAAAAATTCCAAAAACTAGAAATCCTTTGTACTCTGTTCCGCATTCCGTGGACCACTTGTGTATCACTCATTTTGATTGACTGAAATCATGTTAACTTTTTATTATACAAGTAGACATGGACCAATCAAAATGACTTGTACACAAGTGGCACGGGAAATGTGGTACAGAAATACGTGAATCCATTATTATTACGTAGTAATATTTTATTACATAAAAGACTTTTTAATTGTAAAACATAAAAATGAAAGAGAAATTACCCAAAATAGGATTAGAAATGTTTGTATATTCCAAAATAGGACTATCATGTTTTTATTCCCCAAATAGGACTAATTACTGCCATGTTTTGGCAGTACCAGACTTTAAACATGGTAGTATTTTCCAAACTTGGCAGTAATTACTCCTATTTTGGGAATAAAAACATGGCAGTCCTATTTTGGAATTTTCAAACTTTTTTACACCTATTTCGGGAATTTTCCCAAAATGAAAACTGACATTGATTCTGAATTCTATCGCCAAGAATGTGAGGTCTTATTAGTTTTAATGCTAATGAATATATAAGCACAAAAGAAAATATGTAAATGCATTTCTGTTCCAACATCTTCTGTAATTGACTAGGAGTGGCAGAATGATCATAAGTTCGTCTGCCATTTTAGTGTGTCAAGTGATGCTTTACTGTTTTATTTTGCAGGTTTACACCAGTGCTCTGAAACTAGTCCGTTCCATGGTATGTGTAAAATGCAGACGCAGATGAATATCTTTGTGCTATGTGGTGATATAGGTTTCTGAGATTTCAATAGGGATAACCACTCTTTTGTCTTTCTTGGTTCTTTGTTGGACATATATATAAATTTTCCGAACTACTAAGAAAGTCGACAAAAGATAATTTGAATTATAGTTCTTTAAAGAAAATCTTGTATTAAAAATAACAATTGATCGGTAGGTTGAAACTTCACTCTAGGTTCCTGTGGCAATCAACCTACTATCTCTCTGATTCATATTATATATAAACATCTTCACATATATTTTAGCAATGGTCAATTCCTGTTACCAAGGATGGGATGCAGTTTCATTGATTACGTCAGGATAAACTTTAACTGGGTCATCCATGTACTTCCAGCTGCCTCTACCCTATCTAAAGGTTGGATATCTAGCTGCACCACCTGCTGGAAATCCACTTGCACCACATAATGATTGGAAGCGTTCTCAATTTGTTCTGAATCATGAGGGACTACACCAGGTAAAAGTTTCTTTTATCTTCACTAGTTACTGTAATTGTGAGATAATTCAATGGACACAGGGTAACAAGCTTGATGACCACACTTTTAGTAGTTCTTTCGGACATGAAAAGCTCTCTAGATAGCATCATTATTCTGCTCCAATTGCACATTGGCTGCTTATCCTGAAACCTTTTTGTTTTCAACAGATCAACACGGTTGAACAAAGACGAAGCCTCTCCTCAAATCCTGGAGATAGCACGGGTTCGAGCAGCCAAGTTATCAAAGTTGACGTGCCTGATATCGTCTCCGTGTCAGCATGTGCTGATCTAACATTGCCACCCGGGGCAGGCCTCTGCATTAATACAGTTCATGGACCTGTCTACATGGTAATTTTTACTATTTTATTTTCCAACTCTGCATTAAAAGCGTTTAATTCCTTTCTCAGCTGATTTCAGGGTAAAAATTCCATCTTTTGAAAATTTCAAGGGAACAGGCCCAAATAGCCCCTCTTGTTCTATTTCATATCCGTCTCCTAAACCTCTGATCTAAAAAATCATAACAGGCTTACTTTAAAAAACAGTCTATTGAGACACTTTAGTAGAACTGTACCTGATATAGCAGGGCACCCTTGGAAAAATTTAGAAAAGTTGATAATGTTATATAAAAAGTCATAAAGTTTTTTAAAAAGTGCAAATAAAAGTTAAAAGTGTTAAAGTAAAAATGGAAACTTTTTCTGTTTTTTTACAACTTTTTGTATTTTTATTTCCACATTGTTTAAGTTTTTACAGTTTTTTCAAATTTTCATCACTTTTCCTCATTTTTCAAATGGCAACCTCCTATAGGTCAGATTCTGGTACAATTGATGGATTTATTGTTTTATCTTCAAATTAAGTGTGCTTATATGATACTACGTACTTTTTAAATCAGTACAATAGTCTATTTGATCATTTTCACAAAAGTCAATTTTCACCATCCTTTGAAGGGTTTTCTTGTACATTTTATCATATTTTGTCATGTGAATATCAGATTGCTGATTCATGGGAATCGTTGGACTGGTGGCTTGATGCAATACGTCTAGCTTACACGATTTACGCTCGAGGCAAGAGTGAGGTTCTGGCAGGTATCATTACCGGCTAATTTTGTGGGAGTAGCCTTAACTTTGCGAACCTGCTGACGTACATGTAATTATGTGGTCTTTCATACTTTTCCTACTTCCTTATGCTATGGATGTAGTTTAGAGAACTATATATACCTTGAGTCCAAGTCAAAAAGCTTGAAATGATTTCTTTTTTTAAATTTTCATTGACTTGTAGAGTTCTTTGCCTTTTCTGTTATGCATTATCAATGCATGATTCATGAATTCCGATTGTCAATTTTTGATGTAATTTTTATTTTTATTGTTTTGGAGGAAGATCCATGATTTTCACTACAGAAATGTGCAAATGTGGTGAACTCACAATAGTTCTGAATAATAACTATATATTTTGCACCAGAGACCAGTGTCTTACTGTCGTCGATGTTGTATATTGGGTAATGGCTAAGAGCCAAAAAATGCCATATAAATATGGTGGATTGTGGGAAATAACGATGGAAGTGTTTCGGACTAGATAAAAATGCAACTATATATTTATTGGCAAATTATACCGTATGACCGGTATACGGTAAGCACCGGTATACGGATTTCTTTAATTTTTTTCCTTTTGTTTTTAAAAAATGCTAATAACTTTTTTATTTTTGATCCGATATTTATAAAATTTATATCAACATTTTTAATTTTTCATGATCTTTCAAATGAGACCAATATTGCTTATGTAATTTTAAGTAATTATCGAACTATTATATTAATGAGTATTGGATTATAAGGAAAATCGAACTAAATTTAATACAGAAAAATAATTGTGTAAATCACAATTTATCTTAAAATTGTGTATATAAAAAATTTATTTTATTATATATTTATACATATGAGTTACATATTTTTATACGTAAAGTTACATATTTGTACACGTAAAGTTACATATTTCTACACACGAGTTGCATTTGGCTTGCCTGAATGTGAGTTACATATTTTTACACGTAAAGTTACATATTTTTACACGTAAAGTTACATATTTATACATACGAGTTACATATTTATACACACGAGTTGTATTTGACCTGTCTGAACGTGAGTTACATATTTTTACACGTAAAGTTACATATTTATACACGTGAGTTACATATTTATACACACGAGTTGTATTTGACCTGTCTGAACGCGAGTTACATATTTTTACACGTAAAGTTATATATATTTACACGTAGGCAGTGGCGGACCCAGAAACTCAGAATCACGGGGTCCCTACTGTAATGTAACTCTAATTAATAAAAAATTAATAAAAAGAAGTAAAATATTAAAATAGCATAACGTTTCATAGTTAACGTATACAACAATTTTAAAGATATTCCAATATTTTAAAGAAATGGGGTCCACTATCAACTAGAGCCCGTTTGGTAACACTGAAATCGGCTGAATCGGCTGATTCTACCGAAATTTATGAAGTTCTGACTGAAGTGACTGTATTAACTGTTTTTGGTGATTATGAAAAATTATATTTAAAATATATTATATTAATAAAATAAAGAATAAATGATATGAAAAATAGATAAAATGGTCATCTACAATAACTTCAGTTAATACAGTCTGAAAAGTAACTTCCACCTTAATTTTCTTCTTATTACACAATTCAGCGCGCAAAATCAAAAGTTACATGTTTGGTTAAAAAGTTGGTTGATAAGCCTGATAAGCTGAAAAACAGAGTCACTAAACGGGCACTAAAATTTTATAAAGTTAATGTCATCCATCAACTAAAAATAATCGGCATGCATATGAGAAATCAAATTTAAAAACCCTACATTTGAAAATTTCGATCCAATTACTTTGCATTATTTTATTTGGATTTTTTTTTAAAATATATTCATTAGCTTTGTTTCTATTTTAATTTAATACAATTACCAATTTATTTGGGTAACTTTAAGGACTTTGTTATTGGACTAATTTTAGTCTTAGATCAAACCACATAAAGCCAAATTATACGATTATGGCTCAAGCGACCGAAAATGCTATATTAGGAAATAATGATATTTAAATTATATGTTATAAGATATGAAAAAAGTCATATGAAAAAGTGGCTAAGATGATGCTCTACGGTAACTTCAGTCATCTCGACGAAAAAATGTTTTAACTTGCTTATTTTAATTATTACAAATTCAGTGCGTGAATTCAAGAATTACGCCAAATAATGCGATTATGGCTCAAGCGAACTGAATGTGCTATATTAGGTGATGGATAGTCTACCCGGGGGTATGTATCCGAAGAGTTACTGCGGGAAGTAACTAGAGAGAAGTCAGAGCAAAAGTAAGAGAGAGAATGTATTGCTGAGAATGTAATGAGCGGTTTTAGCTTGGGTTACAAATGGGGAAAGGGGTGCTATTTATAGCAGTAATAAATGCCAGATAGGGACACGCGTCATCATTCTGGTGGTCGAGGGGTCACCTCAACGGGGTGGCGCTAGCATTCGCATGTCACCGCATTAAATGCGACTGTTGGATGTGACGTCGTACTTGGTACGGTGATTCAGGCGCATGTGGAGAGGATATTATGTCGAGAAAGGTGTCCTCGGCTGCAGATGATTAGCCAAGGGCTCTGAGTACCGGGGACCTCCTTAGTGCCGAGGGCTCTAGGTGCCGAGGGCTACTGATTTTCGCCGTTTTCTCCCAGTAACTTTGTTTGCTTGAGTTGGCAATCCTGTGAGAATTTGGAGTCTTCGGCCAGAGGGTCGAAGGCACCCCCAGTGTGCCACGTGGGTTGCTCGGTACTTGGGGCGCTGTGATTCGGGCCTACTGTGCTTCCTGGGCCTATTAGGCCTCCATTAGAATAGTAGGAGTCTATGGGCCGGGGGTTCCTGGGCCATATACTCCATCATTAGGAAAGAATGATATTTAAATTATATGTTACTCCCTCCGTTCTTTTTTAGTTGCAACGGTCAACATTTCACATTTGCCAACGCACGTATTTGACCGTAATTATATCTTAATTCTTTTAGTAAAAAAATATTAAAAACCAGATTTTGAAAATTTGTAATGACATGAATTAAACAATATTTTTTTAAAAAATAATTTTCATAAAATAATAGCGTAAAATGTAGTCAAAGTAGAACATGTGAATAGTGTACAATTCAACATGTTGCGATTAAAACAGAACGGAGGATAGTATAAGATATGAAAAAAGTCATATGAAAAAGTGGTTAAGATGATGCTCTACGGTAACTTCAATCATCTGGGCGAAAAATGCTTTTAATTTACTTATTTTAATTATTGCAAATTCAGTGCGTGAATTCAAGAATTACGTGTTTCATAACGAAATTAGTTTATAAAACAGATAAGCTGAAATTTGGAAATACATACTGGCTTTACAGTAGTATTTCTTATGAAAAAAATTGGGCATAGGTTGAGAAAATTAGATGCTTTGCATTAGTATTTCTTAGGAAAAAAATGGGCATAATTTGAGAAAATTAGATTAAAAGTTGGACAATAGAGGTGCATGATAACAATAGGTGGTTGGTTGTTCCATAATTTTATTTTCAAAAAAAGTAGACACCTCAGAGAGTCAACCCTTGTACCTCCGCACGTATAGACACTCAGGATCAAGTCTCCTACCGCTGCTCTAGCTCGGTATTTGTGTTCTAAACTAGTTTCGATTTTATAAATATAAGGATTACTTAATTTTATATAAAATATATAGAAATATATATAGGTATTTTTTTGATGTCCATAGGGTTCCGGGAACCCGTGGGACCCTTAGTGGGTCCGCCACTGCACGTAAAGTTACATATTTATACACACGAGTTGCATTTGGCCTGACTGGACGTGAGTTACATATTTCTACACATAAAATTACATATTTTACACAATAGTCAAGTATTATTTATTTAAAAATGTAAATTTATGGTGTTAATGACATAATTTAAAATATGTTAGTATTCATTAAGACGCAATTAACATTCTTACCTCCCATTGTGAAATAAATAATATTATCTCCCATCTATTTAATTACAACGCTTTTATTTTGTTATTTTAAGTTATGCAATTAACACCATAAATTTAAAATTTTGAAAGAAATAATACACTACCATGGTGATTAAATAACTTTTTATATAAGATTTGGGATATTTAAATTACATATGAAAGTTTAGGGTGTTTAGCTCACACCTCTTCAAAGTTTAGGATATTTTAATTATTTTTCCCATATATATAGGAATATTCATGTTCGGAATTTCCTGACCGGAGCCCGTCCGGCCTCCGCCGTTTGGGGCAGTTCTCGGAGTTATTTTTTGATAAAGTGTTTTATGTATATTCTTCATCAAGTCTAGTTTGTCCACACAAAATTTCAGCTAAAAATATAATCGGGAAGACAGTCAAGTGTTTTTGGAAGATAACTGCGTTTTATATGTATATAAAGGGCGTAGTTATCTTCCAAAAATCATTTTGTTTGCCTTCTTGATTGAATTTTTAGCTGAAATTTGGTATGAATAAACTAGACTTGATGAATAACATGCACAAAAAATTTCAGCAAAAAATACCACCGGAAACCACCCCAAAGGCAAAGGCCGAACGGCACCCGGGTCGGGAATTTCCTGACTGGAAGATTACTCTCTCTCTCTCTCTCTACACACACACACACACACACACACATAGAGAGAGAGAGAGTTATAATCCAATAAGGTATACCTGACCAGAGCGTCGTCCGGCCACCTCAATTTGAGATGCTTTCTGGTGGATATTTTTAATTAAATTTTGTGAGATGTTTTTCATGATGTATATGTATATTATGTCCATAAAATTTTAGCTTGAAATTCAATCGTGAAGTGAGTAAAATAAATTATTTAAAAAATCTATGCCAATATATATATATATATATACACACACACATACACACACAATTTTTTTCTTACATATTTTTTCTTAGATTTTAATAAAATCTAAATGCCTTCACTTTTGACTTTTGAGAATCTAAGATGAACTAATGCATCGATAAATTTTCCATCATGCACTTTTGATCATTTACAGTACACTATTACATGTAAAGAGTTCATTTTTTTGCAAATAAGATTTGTTAAATTTATTTGCAAAAATAGCATCGCGTGCCAAGAGCAAAATTAAAAAAAATGTTTAAATATTTATGTAAAATTTTATGTTCAAATTAAAAAAATTTGCAATTCAATTTGCACCCCTGTCTATGCCATAGAGTGACGAGGTTTCTCTAAATTCGATGAAAACCTTATATGCAGAAGCACCTCAATAATTTATCAGCATTATGACAATATATACAAATTGGCTGGAGGAGATTTAAGAGAACTTTATACGAGGATGGAGAGAATACAGAGGACGTTTGGCAATACTGGTTTTGGGTTTATCAGGTGTATAGATCAACTTTTTCACCAAACACGTAACTT